GAGGTCCCTTCCAGCCCTAATGTCTATGAAAACTATGAAATTTTCAGCCAAGTTAGAGGATGCCTACTTGGCACAAATATTGCCAGGGCTAGGTGCAGAGGTAGCTCTTACAGTTCTATCATACGAGTGGAGATCTAAAATAATGTATTATAATAGTTTACAATAATCAGACACTGCAAGAACTGGTGCATTTTTGCTTTCTTAGTCATGGCAGGGAAGCAAAAAGGCGGCAGGGACAAGTTGCCAGTCATCTTACTTCAGCTCCACTGATGCCATCTGCCATCCAGTTTAGGAACTGCAATAAGATTTATTTGCTCTAGCCTGCCATCTGGCATTTGCTGGACAATACAGACAACCTGTTAAATCTCAATATAAATAGTTGGGGTAATTTTTCACATGTTGCAACTAACCGTCCTGTAGGTAGCAAAAGAATATCCAGTATGATTCACTAACAAATCATGCTGTTACAAATAAAGAGAGATCTGCTCCAATTCACAGGTGACTCATGCTACAGGAAAGAAATAAATATAAGTTCTGAGTCACTGAGACATGCTGTAGTGGCTGCAGATGCTTTGAGAGATTTTAGTTATAAAAAGGTACTCAGATGGAGTTTGAGCAAGAAAACAGCCACAGACAGAACTTTTACTTTGCATATGATATACTGTATAGGCACAGTTGCAGACCTGAGGAGACTCCCAAAAGTAAACTATGTTTGTTGCTTAAGTACATTTTCTGCCTCTATATTGTGCAAATCATATCTAATAGTTAAAGTGTAATCCAACAATTGTTAGAACAAAACCATGAACTCAGTCTGGAAGGTACACAAGCGAGGCTGGAGATTTAATGAAGAAATAACAAAACAGAAATAACATTAACGTTACTGGGTAACAGGTACAGATTGCCACATATCTAGAGGCACAAAGAAACATTACTGTCACTAAGTTTGCTAGCAAACAGTCTCTTTGGCTTTGTACTGTACATGTGTGGGAGGGAAGAATATATAAGTGTTTCAGAGTCACTTATCTATAATTTAGAAAGCAGATATTCAGAAGTTATGAAAAAATGGAAAATAGCAAGACATGTTAAAAAATTATACAAATGACAGTAGTTTTTTGTATAGGCATAAATACATTCAAAAGATCAGCTGTAAAACAGCAAATGCACAGTTACTGCAACAGAACACTTTGTTTGGCATATAAGTTTTACTGGTTTTAAGAGATTCATCAGAAATTCTGAACTTCCCAATAATTGAGGTCTCACCATTAAAGGAAGGAGGTCTCACTTCTACTACTCTGCACACGAGTGCATAAGAGCACATCTTACTCTGTCAAGATGTCAGCATTAATTTTCACACAGGACCAAACTCCACAAAACATTTAATCTCATGCAAAACTTTTTACATAAACAGTATCAGGCTTAAAAGGTCTGAACTTGTGCTTAAGTGCCTTTTGGATGAGCGCTCTTAAGGCTGCAAAAGTTCAGCAACCCAACACCTACAATGCAAAGGGAAAACCCATAGTTACAACTTCTCTTGAAGCTTCTAGTTTACTTCTCGTTATGTCCAAACTCTATTATCTGAGAATTATTAGCTAGTTGAAATAACATCAAACTCATTTTTATTCCTAAGCTACATATTTGAAAGACAAAGATTTTTTAAGATGATACCTTTTCTTGAAGAAACTATGTTGTTTGCATAGTCAGACAAGCTTTCAAATGTAAGATATGACCTGAGGAAGAATATCTTGCATTCAAAAGCTTGTCCGATTCTCTCCCAATTACATAGCTGGTCCAATAAAAGCTATCACCCTAAGAAATCCTTGCCTCACATAATTTCTGGACCATCACAGTTACAATATCATTCTTACTAACATAATCAAGATTCATTTTTCTTTAAATAAAGCAGCAGCATGCTATGACATGATTTAGCACAGCACAAGAAACTATGAAGCCTAGAGATACTTACAGTACCTTTTAGTATTTTTCATATCGGGACACCAGAAACTAGCTCTCATCCGAATTCATTTTCTTTAAACTGAATAAACTGTTTACCTTTAATATTTCTGGAGAATTAACATGTTCTGTATAGTAAAAAATGTAAAATGTAGCTAGAGAAGCAAAAAACACAACCAATCAACAGTAAGGGCAATGAATGACCATTATTTGTACAGTGCTTTGGAACCGTAATTGTGTCTGGCATTGTTCATTTCTTTTATCCTATAGCTCCTGGACTCACCCATACTGCACGGTTTCCCTCCCTGTTGCTTTGTTACTTTAATCATATGTCCTTATCAGCAGGCAATGGATACTCTACACTGCCTATAAACTCTGTGCTTACTTTATTGACCATTACTTATTACCTGCATTGTTGCTGTTGACCAAACTGTTTGAGAACTCCTCTGCTCCACCAAAGGTTAAGCAGGAGATGCTGTCACCTGGATGACGAGAAGTGATATGCCTGGGGAGAACAAGATTCTGGCTGATCAAAGAGAAATACTGTCCCCTATTTCGATCAGAGCACAGTCGCAAAAAATGCATCTACGGTCTCAGGTCAGGCTTTGGTGAACGGTGCTCCATACAACATGTTTCAGATTAGGGCCTATATGGCAGGAGGCACAGAAGGTGCTTTACCAATGCAGAATATTGATCGATACAGTTTGGTGCCCTGCCAGTGACCTGTAATGTATTTCAGTGTTTCCCAACCTTTTTCGCCCCACAGCACACTTCCCTAAATAAAAAAGTACCACAACAAACTGGACACAGAGTGGGGAGGGGGCTTAGCGTGTGGCCAGCTGGATGCTGACAGGGAGGGGTGGTGCAGGGCCAGCCAGATGGCATTTTGGGCTGGAGCCATGCCCCTTGCCTGGCTGGAGCCACACTCCCCATCTGTCTGTGTCCGCAGCAGCAGCAGGTTGGGGGGTTTGCCTCCAGCCTCAAATGCTGCGACACACTGGTTGGCAAACGCTGATGTATTCCTGCAGGATACATCAAGCTAGCTACTCAAATATTTAACTAAGAGACGAACACAGCTAAGTAAGACTTAAGATTTCTAAATTACATGCAGATCCAATCTCAGGATCTACAAAATAAAAATTCTATCCTGAGAAGACTATCTTGGATTGATTTATATTCAACAGCCAATAACAAACTGAGAATGTGGGACTGTGAAAATCTGGTGTTAATGATCACTTGAATTCAAGATAAAATGAAAGACTTTGCATGGGAAATAAATCTCTTTAAAAAAGCACAATTTGGGTACTTAAGCTTGGTGAACAAGGTGCCATGGGAGTACTGAATCTATGGCACTTGGAAAGAGACAAAAGAATCCTAAAATACACCATAAGTTAAAAGGTGAGATTACAATTACTTTGGAAAGAAAGATGCAGGAAGAGAATAAGTCAGTGTGAAAAAAGAACCTGTACAGGAAATGGAGAAAAGTGATGGAACCAAAATAGGAGACTGTCACAGCTAGGGCTCGAAGTAAAATGACAGAGCTGTAACGTGTCAGTTAATGCCAGCCAAAAAAATGAAAGGGGAATAATAAAGGCATTTACAAACATACAAGAGCAAAGAGACACTTAGGGAAAAAGAGACTGATTAAAGCCTAGGAAGGAAAAGAGACATTAAAATTAATATCAAGCCTAAAAGTGGCTATGCTAGCGAACTGCTTTATTTAAACAGTATTTTAACAAGAGAAGAATTAAAAAAGCACAGACACAGTAAGTAATACAGACCTTATTAATAAAGATGTAGATATAAAAAGCAAGTAAAGGAGTACCAGGAGGTGGAAGAGGTATCTGCTGTACTGCTCATCGTTAAATGTAGTGAAGGGACCAAACTCCCCAAAAATGAGGAGAATACTTAATGTACATACCGGCTATAGGAGGGAAGAGGGCTTGCCACTAGCTCAGAGCTGAACATGCTGACACTCAGATCAGTGAAGGAAGCTGGTAGAGTTCAATACATGGGGCAGGCCCGTGGATAAAAAGAAATCTTAATTCAATTTTATGAGCAGCCAGCCTCTCTAACCATCAGTCCAGCCCTTACATTATGTGGCTTTGTATCTTACTAGGTTTCATTACAAAGAAGGAGAAAAAGAAGCGTTATAACTGACACCGCTCAACAGTACTACAAGGCAAAACTATTCCCTATGCTTGACATGTACTATTCTGAAATGAAGGTCACAGCTTCTGTGAAATGCTTCTCTGCACCAAAAACATATCTATCAACAAGTCAAAAAATAAGTCAATCAGTTACAGGGTACCTCCTGTACCAATTTCCAGAATGATCGCAGCTGAGGTGTACTGCAATGATTATATATTTGAGTACCATATTTCACGCTATATAAGTCAAGGTTTGAAGCCCAAATAGTGACCCTTAAATTTCCACCTTGACTTACACACTGTATCCCGGGCCTTGCCTGGCCAGTATACAGCTTCTACACAGGGCTGCTGCTGCCACTGCTGCAGCTGCCAGTGTACTCAGCTTCCGCAGCACCCAGCAGCTCCTTGTCTCCCTGCTCAGGGTATCAGGTAGGGAGGCAGCAGGGGTGGGGGAGCGAGGTGGGAGCGCAAAGCCTGTACTGGGGTGGGGGGGCCAGGAGTGCAAAGCTTGGGTGGGCAGGGTATGGGTGTGGGGGAGGGTGTGGTTATGTGGAGCATGAGGGAAGGTGGGGGATATGGGGACCCCCCAAACATGCCCCACCATGGTACACAGCAGCCAGTAGGCAGCAGGCATTCATGACCCGTGCAGGCACTGCCGCCCTGTGGCATGCAGTCCTGCTGGCACTTGAACATCACCCCCCCTCCCCTTCTCCCCCTGCCTACATGCAGCAGCAAGGAGCACAGCCTGTCTTTGTTGTGCTGTTTGGAGGGGCCAGGGCTGGGGTGAGCTGGGCTCAGCACTTGGCTGGTGTGGCCCAGGCAGCACTGGCCCTGGCCCCTGTGAGAGGCACTGGCTGGGCTGCACTAGCTGAGCACCATGCCTGGCCCCGGCCCCTCTGGTGGCGCCGGTCTTGTATGTGTCCACCCCCCAGGTGTCCTTTGTAAGGGCTGGAGCACAGGGGCTGGAATAAGTCGACCCCATATCTCTGACCCAAAAAGCTGGGTCGACTTATATGCCAGATCTACAAAAATCCTAACTTTTTGAATCAGAAAAATGGGATCGACTTATACACCACATTGACTTGTACAACATGAAATACAGTAATCCAGCTGCACAAACTGCTGAAAAATAAACCATTTCAATGCCTGGGGTCTCATAATAAAACCGTAACATTGGTGCTGAGCATCGCAGCCAACTGCTATTCTCTTTACCCAATATGTGGCTAGCCTTGTACAAGTGTTCTTTACTTGGAACTGTGCTTTTGCTTAGGCAAGTGCTGTTAAAGGTCCCCCCCCAATAACCTCACCTGCCAGTTGCCTCGTGGTAAGCAAGCTCCAGCAGTTCAGCAGAGGAGTGAGTCAAATCCCGCTGCCCGTTGCCCTGCATTTCTGCCATGTTCTGGCGAGTCTGGTGGTGGATCTGGATTGCTTCTCCCGATGGACCTACACCATTATAGATTTGTCATCAACACCCCCTTTGCTCTTGTTTCTTCAGTTTTTCCCATTCACCCCCAACTCCTTCTGCTCATAGCACAATCAACACTAGCACCAATATAAGTTAACATGGTCCCTCTATGGCAGGGGCAGGCAAAAAATGGCTCCTGGGCCAAACCTGGCCCACCAGGCAATTTCATCCAGCTCACACGTGCCCACCAACTAACTGTACCCCACCCAGCCCACATGCCTTGCTCCCACTCTTGTATGCAGAAGGGCCTGGCCCAGCCAGCATACAGCTTCCAGGCAGGGCTGCTGCTGCCCCTGCTACAGCCTCTAAAAGACCTGCTTAGCTTTCCCAGCATCTAAAGGCACCTCATCTCCCTGCTGCAGCACTCACTCTTGGCAGCAGGTAGGGAAGCAGTGGGGATGGAGGGAGGAGGATCTCTAGCTGGGCAGGAGCATGGGGCTGGTGGGAACGTGGAACTTGAACCCAGGGGAGCAGTGGGAGCACAGAGCTTGGGTGGGAAGGGTGTGGGTGAGGGAGGGCAGCGAGGTGAGGACCCCCACACCCCCAATGGCACACTGCTCCTGCCACCAGCAGGAAGCAGCAGCAGCAGGCGCTTGGGGCAGCTGACAACACATGGCTCCAGTCAGAGCTGCACATGGTGGCAAGGGGCACAGGCAGGCTGGTCCACCGTTATTGCCTCTATCATATGGGGCTTCCTGCGGAGCACGTGCAGCTCCCACCACTTGCGTGCCACTGGGAGAAGCCCTGCATGATGCAGCTGGCTGCCTTCCCCACCCCTTGCCATGCAGGTCCTAGGACTCCATCAGGAAAGCAGGGGGTGGGGCTCCCCTTCACTTCTGGCAGTCCCCAGACATGCACAGCATGGGGTAGGGAAGGCAGCTGGCTCCATCATGCAGGTCTTCTTCTGGTGGCGCACAAATGCCAGAAGCTGCACACGTGCCGCAGGGAGCCCCATATGATAGAGGTGGTCGAGCCTGGTTGCATGCCTTGCCACCACATGCAGCTCTGGCCAGAGCCGCATGCTGCCAGGCACCCACCACCTGTGGCAGGAGCTCGGCGCCATGGTGGTGGTGGGGGGGGAGGGGGGAGTGTGTTGGGGTCCCCATATACCCACACCCTGCTTCCACAACTCTCCCCCAAAACATACCCTTTG